CTAATAAACAATCGTGGTACAAAGCTCAATAAAAATATTAAAAAAATTAATTTAATTTTATTTCACTCTATTTTTATTATCTTTTATTTTGGTGGAAACAAATACACGTTCATGTGTTCCTCAACTACGCCTATCGAACAATGCTATTTTATTGCACACCACTGTAAATATCGCGTGGTAAAAGCTGTATCACAGTTCGGTTTGTGCCAGCGCTAAGCTCAGTGGAAAGCTTTGTGAAAAGCTTTGTTATGGACTTGAGCTTTTTGCTATCACTGAAATCGCGATCAGCTGTTTAGCGCGCCAAAAGTACTGCCTATTTGTTTTTTCCTTTTTATTTGCGGCTTTCTCTTTGGATCGCCAAAAGAAAGGAAAATGTTCTTTTTTATATAAATTTATATACTTATCTTGACTCCGCTACGTTTGTGACACTGTATTTCACTACTGCAGGTAGTTTTCTTCACTGCGAACACACTTTAAAATAACAAATCGCCGCTTTTCCAATATAAAACTACTGAAAACGCGGAGTTAAAATTTTTGCGTCCACTTCACTTCACTTTCGTATTGTGTAAGTACATACATACATCCGTATGCGAATGCGTGAGAAATAAAGTCGACGCTAAACTTACATAGTTGCAACTTTATACAGATATTCTATTGAATATTAAGTCAAAAATCTGTAACTAACTTTAGTGTCGACTTTATTTTGACCATGAATATGCCCCATAAATTACATATTTGCTCAAAATAAATGTTCATAAAACTCAAAAATAACTTTTCAAGAAAACACCTTGAAGTTAACAAGTGCATTGCATGTTTAAAGTGAAATTGTGAAAAAACTAAAGCAGTTAGAAAATTCTGGTTTATTGCATTACATGTAAATAGCATAGCAGCTACCATAAGAAAAAAAAATAGATTTTTCCGACCAAAAGCCCCTTTGAAATGCCGACGACAAATCACCGAAGAGTTTGCCAATTGCATGTGTACATAATTTTCACAAGGTTTGCAGTGAGAGCATACACTGGCACATACATATGAATGTATGTTTCTTCGAACAAGAATTTTCATATAAGTTAATACAATATAAACAATTTTCATATTTTTTTTTAGTTAATCAAAACTATTAATATGAATTTTTTACCAATTTTAGAATTCTTTTCAACTAACATGCATTTTTACTACCTACTATATACATATATTATATATATTTATATATACATATACTATATACTCGTACAAGAAGCGAACTTGGGCACATGCTTTTTGAGTTTTTAGATTTTTTTATGTCGTTAAAGCAATATTAACTACTCAATAAATTATATTTAACAAATGGTCATGCATATATGAAGATCCGAAATGTTAACTGATATAAAAGTACAATTCATATAATTTAACTTTTAATTTATTTAATTTTATAAAAACATATAAATATGTTTCTGCATTCACCAGCAACCTAGCAACACAGCCAGGCACTTGCAACAAAACATAACATTATCATAACAGAATATTAACGTTTTTTGCTGTTAACTCGTGTTCAAATGTTAATCGCAATGTGGTGATATTCCATGGAATTATTTTTCAGCCAAACAATTTTACGTTCCAAAAATTTGCTCCTTCTCTATCTATCTAAATTCTCTGGTTAAACATACTCAAAGTTCATCCTTCGTCGTTTCGACTACGCACATTTAAAAAATAAGTACTTACACTAAGCGCATGAATCTAAGTAACCGCACACATCAACAGCACAACACCGTCTAGCGCTGTACGAAATATTAGCACTATACAAACAAAGGAAAAACAGTAAAATAAAAACTCGCGTCGTCGAAACGACGAACCATGAGCATCCAAATATATATATAACTACTTTTAAAATATAATTTTTAATTCAAAATTGTTGTAAAATATAATTACATATATTCAAGTTTAAATTTTCCTTTCAAAATTATTTCTGCATTTTACAGATTTTAAATTAATAATCAGTTTTCAGATTCTAGTTTTTCAATGAATGAAGTTGTTTATGAAAATTCTAACGAAATTTGTACATGTATATAAAAGCAATCTGGTTTTAATTTTGAAAAATTAGTTGTTATTAATTTCACAAATTCTTATTATTTTCTTCGGTTTTTACCAATATCTTTAGTAGTTTGTTTATTTTAATGCAATTTGCTTTGCAATTTACTATTGAACATACAACAAAATACGCAAACAACCGGCAAAGTTTATTTTACACCAATTTGTTCAGTTATCGCTGCTTTCGATGACTTCTGCTTCGTTTGCCTTGCCGCTGTGCTGCTCTTCTATTGTTGCATTTACTGAACTGTTGCTTCTTCAATTTACATATATTTCAAAAGTTTTGTGGGTTTTACTTTGTTGGATTGCGATCTCTATTACTCTCGCTATGTACTATTCGTACCATTTATATTTCTTCAGCTTTATTGTGAAAACGACAGTTTTTAGCGTCGTAATGTAAATACACTTATGTATATGTGTTACAACACTGTTCTGTCCTCAAACACTTGCTTGCGCTTCACTTTTGTACATACATATGTACATATGTCTGTTTGTATCAAGAATGATAGAATACAAGATGGCGCCGATTGCAGCAGAATTCGTGAGAGTAATTTCGGCTTGACTTCAACGTATAGTTGACAACTGAGAGCGGCAAATAAAACTGCTGTCTACTGATGTGCTGAATTGTCGGTACCCAATACTTAAAAAGTTTCGGATCGATATCGCACTTGTTGACGTAAAATATTTCACATCATACGTTAACAAAACCGATAACAATTCGAAAATAGTCGCTAACTGGCTACAGAATATGTCGCCAACTGGTTACAGAATCTGCCTAAAAAAATGATATCGTCCGATTCAACTGGAACAAAAATGCCTCAAACAAGTAAGAGTTTCTCTGTATTATGGCCTCGAACCGACCGATATATACATCTTTCATTTGAATTAGTATTAAAAGCTCTATTGGCTTCTACATTCGGGTTTTGTAGGCGAGTCTCCCCTGAACCGTTTTCTCCATATTTATGGCCTATGTGCGCTTTTATTCGAAACCTAAATGTTTCCGTACCGAGTATAGAGAGTATTGGATACTTAAAAGTATTGACTCAGCACATCACTACTGCTGTCATCTCGACTGTGACGTCAGCAAAACAGCTGATTCTGTCAAATTCACTGAGAGCCGATTAGCGGTATTACCATCGGCGCCACCTTCTGTATTCTCTCCTCCATGTGTTTGTATCTTTTTATTGGAAACAAAACGACACCTCAATGTTCTTAGCACGTAGCAACACAAACCGACGCTTTGTG